CGCAAAACCGTCCTTGACGCGTTCATGATTGCGAACTCACCACAGCTGCAAATGCATGGGGCGTCGTCGGGCAATGCCGTCGTCGGGCAATGCCGGCTCTGAGAGTGCCCACATGTTCGATGGAACGTCCGACCATTACCCAATACATGAATTTTCGTTGTATGATCGTTGTGCATGGATTTGGGTATATCGGGGATCTGCCGGGCGCTGACCCTGTGCGTGTCCGGTCACATCCGCGGGCGTAGAAGGGATCAAATTTGCTACTTCCGCTTGTAGATGCTCTTACAGTACGTTTTACTGTCCACCAATAGCAGCGACACTAGTGCTAGTCCAGTAGTTGTAGTAGCATAGTAGGAGTAGTAGTCGCATGTCTCAAGTTCCAGCAATCCAACTGGCACTTCCTTAAATGCGCATGGTTCGCCGTGTCAGTTCGAAATTAAAAAGGAGATTCAAGTTTGACCTACGAGATGAATATACCAATATAATTTGCTGCTGCCGAGTCTCTCTCTCACGGAGATCATCATGAAAACCGAGTATGGTAGGCAACACTCTAATTCCAGCTGCAGCTGCAGCTTAGGGGCGGTCCCGTCTACTAGTTATTAGGCCTAGCGTCATCATCTCATGTCTTGACTGGTGCCCCCAGACTTGGGCATGATGGTACGCTCCTTTCTGGCCATGATTTGGTAGCAATCGCGTCGGCCAGTCGCTTTGTCGCGGATCCATGGACACCGCATCGGTCGATCGCCTGCTCCTCCGTCCCCTTTTTCTCCGGTGAAATGATGCTCGATCAAGCAAGGCGACGAGGGCGGGAAGGAAGAAGGGGTCCCGTCCTGTGCGAGCTTCGCGTTGAATGCGCGGCAGAAAGCAGCGCAGCTTCCAGCTGCCCGTCCACAGACGCTTTAATCATCTCGACCCTGTGTCTGCCTGCCTGCCTCCTCCTGCTCCTGGGACGGACGGGCATCGGTCGAGCCGGACAAACACCATAGGCCAGACAGCCGGTGCCCGGAGAGAGGAGTCAGAGAGGTTCACATCTCGTAGTGGAGAGTCCTTGATGATGATGGAGTGAGCTCGCCACTACTACAGCTTAATTAAACAACCCCCATCACTAGCCAGGTGAGTGACTGAGAGGGGATAATAACAATTCAGTGAGGGATAGAAAGAGCGATTTTGGCGTTTCATAGCGACTTTGCCTTCCTGCCTTTCTACTAAAGGATACTCGCATAGCGCGGAATGGAAAGTGAAAATGCAATGCATAGTAGTAGTAGTAGCTTTGGCTTTTGTCGGCAATGGATGTCACACACGAGGAGGTTAATTAACGAGGCTCTGCCGCCATTAGTGGCGAACACACTGAGTTGGTGAGATGTGACTTGACACACACCTGATCGAGGTTGGCGTGGCAGCACCATCACCTCACTGATCAGCACACGACCATCGATTAGGGTCCTCACCAGGCTGAACTGAAGCCAGTTGTGGTTAAGCTTGCTAGTGCTTGCAGTATGAACATGATACGTTAACATCATGAGGCCGGATTAGTCTCCACTCCAACCAGCAGTAGCTTTTTGTTGTGGTTAAGTTTGCTACTTGTAGTGTGGACATGAGACATTAACATCCTAGCCGGCCGGATTAGTCTCCATTTGTTTGGTAGACGTAGCTTTCGTGCAGATGCCCTCATGCTCCCTTGGAGCCGAAGCTGTGAGGCTCAAGGCGGGAACACGCTTCAAGCCGAAGCCGCGGGCGGGGGGAAGTTGTTGGGTTCAAAAGTGTCAAGAGGAGAAGAAAAGTTAACCTATATTCTCTTGCCCTTGCCCTTGTGACAGACAGACACCACCTAGCTAGCTAGCACTGCAGTAGTCCAACACACACCACGGCCCCCATGCAGATGCAGGCGAGCAAACAAAAAGCAGCCTTTCGTGAAGCAACTGCCTGTGCTGCCCCTGCAACAACGAAACAAAGATCGATCTCTTTCCCTCTCACTCAAGCCGGGCTGCCTCCACCCCCTGCACACACAAACAGTACTACAAACTAGCCTTTTCTTGCGAACATCTCTCTCTCGGGTCTCGACCCCATCATGTCTCTGCTAGTAGTACGTACACTCTACTTGCATGGGTGAGAGAGACACTCAGACACACACAGCATAGCACGCACGTACGTACAGGGTACACCAGCCAGGCAGCGAGAAAGGAAGTCGCAGAGCAACAACATGATGACCTGAACAAAACGCTGCGACACTCCACTCCACTCTCCGATCCCAGACCGGCATTGCAAAAGACGCCTACGACGCCTACGTACTGCTGCCACTTATGGGTCGGAGCAGCATTGCTTTACTTGTACACCACCACCACCACGCGTTGCCACCAGGCAGGCAGGCGACAGGAACCACCATCATCACCATCGATCGGGCTGGGCGGTCGACGATCGGCTCGGTCGTCAGTGGCTGCAGAGGTCGGAGAGCTCCTTGCGGCCCTCCACAATGTCGTCCAGGAAGTCGTCTAGCTGGCACGCCAGCCCGTCCGTGCCGGCGCGGAGCACCTCCAGCCACGCCTTCAGCTCCCCGGCCTTGTCCTTCACGGCGCCGCCGCACTTGCCCCCGGCAGCTGCCGCGCGCTCCACCTCCTCCCGCGCCGCCTCCGCCGCCGCGCGCGCGCGCCGCAGCTCCTGCATCCTGATCATCCCCGGCGCGCCGTCGCCGTCGTCGCCCGCGGCCTCCTCCGCCATCCGCTTCTGCAGCGTCGCGATGGAGGACATGAACCCGTCGTCGCTGCGGCTGCTGTCCGCGCCGTCGGAGGACGAGCGCGGGGACCCGGCGACGGCGCCGCCGGCCAGGATGAGCAGGAGGAGGGAGCTGGCGTTGTGCAGCGCGTAGAGCAGCCCGCGGAAGCCGTTGAAGCCGCTGAGCCTGGCGTCGGCCGCGCGCCGCTCGTCCAGCTGCAGGGACAGCGGCGCGATCCTCGACTCGGACAGCGCCCGGTTCTCCTCCTCCGCCGCCATGGCCTCCCTCCTCGACGCCGAGATCGCCCTCATCACCTGGTGCCACCATTGCACGCGCGGTTCGATCAGATTCGTGGAGTTCAAGAAACAGAGCAAGAACAAGCAATTGACGATGGCACACAAGACATAGGAGGAGTGAATCGCACAGTGCAGAAAGAAATTTGTGAGAGAAAAAAAAGGGAAGGCGGCGACATGATCATTCATGATCACTATTCTTTTCTTCGAAAGAGAGATCATGATTACCGCCGCGCTGCTCGCGCGCAGAGGATGTTGGAATAAAGCGAAGGAAGCGGGACCAACCTGGCGAGTGGAGAGGGGGGAAGGGTCCTGGAGCCAGTCGTCGAGGGCGGCGGCGGCGCAGGACGCGGCGGCGCAGTAGCGCTCGACGGCGGCGAGGCCGAGCTTGACGGCGAGGCAGGCGTCCCAGAGGCGCGCGGTCTCGTCCATGTACTCGTCCAGCCACCGGCCGCCGGGCGGCAGGTGGAGCTGGCCGACGAGCACCATGAGCTGCGAGTGCAGGCCCCTGAGCAGCGCCGCCGCCCGGAGCAGCGCCGGCAGCGAGGACAGCCCGCCCGCGCCGCTGAGGTCGTCCAGCCCCCGCGCCAGGGTCGCGAAGAAGGCGTTTACCATGGCTCTGAAGTCAGGAGAAGTACTGTGCGGTGGCGGTGAGGTCGGGACCGAGCTGGAAGCCGACGGCGCGCGGGTGGCAATATATATAGCGTGGGCTGGGGCGTGGGCGCGCGGTGCAGGAGCAAGAAGACGAGGGAGGACAGGAGAAGGGGGTCGAAGTGGGAGAGGGCGAGAGGGACACGACGACACGATCGGGGTGGGGGAGTGGAGTGCAATGATGGGTGTCTACAGGAGGGGGAGAAGGGCGATGATGAGGTTGGGGTGAGGCAGCGCCATGGCTGCCCTGCCCTGCCCGCTTTGCTGGGTCGTGTGTCCTCCCTCTCTCTCGCGCGCGCTCGGCTTGTATGCTCTGTCCCGTTGTCCGTGCGGGAGCCAGCAGGCCTTGTGTGTGCGAGTGGGCGTGCTGGTGGTGGCCTCTGCTTTGCTGGGTTTCCGGAAGGAGTTGAACATGGTGTGGTATGGTTGGGAAATGGCTTTTTACACCACTGTTTCCCTGTCCGCCTAGATTTAGCAGCGAGGGTACTCTATGTTTTGGGGCTTCTCTTTGGGGAAAACTGAAGAAATATCGCGCCAATGCTAGATTGTGGCCAGCAGCCAAATGTGGGAAGTTGAATACATCAGCCGATTTGCATTTCCTCACAATTAAATCTTGATGTGCTCCATAAACAAATATAATACTTGGACAAATGTAAGAGGCCAAATACAAACTTGTAAATTGATTTTAGCTACATAAGTACGAAGATGTGCCTTTTTGTGTGCAGTTTTGGGCTTCAAAATGTACTGCTAAGAAATCACACAGGTTTTCAAACCTTAAGTTGCACAAAACTATTTGCAATTTTAGGCTTCATTACTCGAAACCAAAATCATATAAAATAGTTACGCGTGATTTTTGGCTCAAAATATGTAAAGTATTATAACTAAGTCACGAACAAACAAAAATGTGTGTTTTCGAATGGAATATGCAAACAAACGGGTTGGGCATTCCTAACTCTTAGATTACGCAAAGCAGGAATGTGCTATTCCGAGCTTTTAGAACCCCCCCCCCACCACCACCACCACCAAATTGCACATTTTAAACACCAAACCGAACAAAAAGAATGATAATTACAAGTGGAAATTATCCAATTGCACAGTTCTAAACCCATAATTGCATGAAAAACAGAACGTGTGCAATTTTATAAATGCGTTGACTACCCAATCACTAGATTTAAAATCACGTTAAAATATAAATTTCAGAATGTGTACCCAGCTAATTTCACATTTGTAGTTAGTCAAAAAAGAATTCATATTTTTAATCGTAGATATATAAAGTATAGGTTTCTCTTTAGGGAAACCTGAAGAGATGTTGTCTCAATGCTAGATTGTGGCCAACGTTCAAATATGGGAGCGTTTGCTCATGAAGTTGAGTTCAACAGACGATTTTACTTTTTATTACAATTAAGTATTTATGTGCTCCCCAAACACATCTAATACTTAGACAAATGTAAAAGCCAAATACAAAAATAAAAAAAAACACATAAATATTTTTTCCTACATATGTACGAAGTTGTACCTTTTCAGTGTGCAATTTTAGGCTTCAAAGTGAAATTACATGTAAGTACAAAGTTTTAAACATAAAGTTGCACACAAAAATATTTGCAGTTTCAGGCTAAGATTACAGAAAGCAATAATGTGCTATTTCACTCTTTTAAAATGTGCAAACACTCCAATCTTGATCAAATATAGAGTGACAATCCTAACGAATCCATTGTTTATTTTCCCATAGAAATTATGCTGGTCCTAACTTATTCCATTCGAGATTTGTTTTTGAAAGATCCATTCGGGATATTTGTTTTCTCTTCACATAATTTATGTTGGTACTCAATCCATTTAACACATGGAATATTTGGGTGCCTCCTAAATGCAAGTTCTTGACGTGGCTTGTAATCAACAACAGAATTTGGATGGCTGGCAAACTTCAACTTCGTAGGTGGCCAAACTGCCACTTATGCCCGCTTTGCAAGTAGGTCCACGACACATCTTTTTTTCCCAATGTTGTTACACTATGAGAGCCCGGCACATGATAAAAAATGGGCTCAACCTCCATGATGTGCACCCTTTCAATTGGGGTGATGCAATATTGTTAAAGTGTGGTGGAGCGGCAACACTTCCAAGAAGACCAATCGTAAAGGCCGCGTGATTCCTTGATGTTTCTTATTTCTTGGGAGTTTTGGAAGAAGATGAATGTGCGGGTCTTCTGCAACATTGCCGTTCCCGTTGGAGTCATTGTCGCTAGGATCAAAGAGGAGATATTACCTTGGCGCCTTGCACTTGCGTTTTGTAATGTTGCGAGAGTGATTGTTGTAATTTTGTCATTGGGCCTTGACCTCCAAACCTTCTACGTTAATCAATGAAAATGGTAAATCTTTTGCCTCGTTTAAAAAAAGGTGTGCCTTTTTACATGCAATTTTGGGCCTCAAGTTGTACCACTAAGCAACCACACAGTTCTAAACTTAAGTTTGCACAAAAATATTTGCAATTTTAGGGTTCATTTATAGAAACCAAAGTTATATAAATAATTACACGTGATTTCTAGCTCAAAATATGTAAACTACCAAATTTCACATTTGTAATAGTCAATCACAAACAAACAGAAATGTGTAATTTCGGACTATGAAATAAGCAAACAATACAGTTGGGCATTCCTAACCCTTAGATTTAGCAAAGCAATTTCGAGCCTTAAAACCCCTGTCGTGGTTTTGTCACGGCAGATGCCCTTGCAAAGGGGCTTAGGTGTGGAGCCATCGCAACATAGGTTAGCTCAAAGGGGTTGAACAGGACAAGAGACACGATTTTACCCAGGTTCGACCCCTCACTCACGAGGTAAAAGCCTACTTCTTGCTTTGTGTTGTATTGATTGAGTATCGATTAATTACAAGGGAGCGGAATCGCTTGGCCTAGCTATCGATCGATTGTTTTCCTCCAAAGGATGGCTTACCATTATCATTACATCACTGTTTTTTATATCCAGTGTTGGTGTTAGCTAAAAGATCTGACCCGCCCTCGGGGTGTTTGTGCTTACCACCATTACCCTGGTTGTTACCATTGCCTCCTGCCACATTCTGCTGCTGACCCTTACCATTGCCACTCTTCTTGCTTTTGTTTGATTTATCATCATCATCAGATATAGGATCCTTTGTGGTATCAGAGTCGACATATTTAATGAGAGCCGCCATAAGCTCACCCATGTCATTACAATGACGTTTGAGCCGCCCGAGTTTCTGCTTAAGGGGGGGGGGATAAAGTGACAGTTATTTTCCAAAACTAGAACCGCCTGCCCTGCCGCAATACTGCCTTAGGAATGAATAATGGCTGAGACCCGCCAGACCTAATGATGGGCCGACTCATCCTCACGATGCACGCAATTATCAAGGTCAATAATCGTCAGAGGCTGCTTACCCGTCCCTTTAAAGTTCTGAATGAACCGTGCTTTCAACTCTTCCCATGAATTGATGGAATTAGGAGGCAATCCTTTTAACCAGGTTCGAGCTGGTCCATCCAACATCATAGTACAATATTTAGCACATACATCATCATTAACATGAAGGAAATATGCCCTAGAGGCAATAATAAAGTTATTATTTATTTCCTCATATCATGATAAGTGTTTATTATTCATGCTAGAATTGTATTAACCGAAAACATGATACATGTGTGAATACATAAGACAAACATATAGTCACTAGTATGTCTCTACTTGACTAGCTCATTAATCAAAGATGGTTATGTTTCCTAACCATAGACATGTGTTGTCATTTGATTAATGGGATCACATCATTAGGAGAATGATGTGATTGACATGATCCATTCCGTTAGCCTAGCACTTGATCGTTTAGTATATTGCTATTGCTTTCTTCATGACTTATACATGTTCCTGTAACTATGAGATTATGCAACTCCCGTTTACCGGAGGAACACTTTGGGTACTACCAAACGTCACAACGTAACTGGGTGATTATAAAGGAGTACTACAGGTGTCTCCGAAGGTACATGTTGAGTTGGCGTATTTCGAGATTAGGTTTTGTCACTCCGATTGTCGGAGAGGTATCTCTGGGCCCTCTCGATAATGCACATCACTATAAGCCTTGCAAGCAATGTGACCAATGAGTTGGTTACGGTATGATGCATTACGTAACGAGTAAAGAGACTTGCCGGTAACGAGATTGAACTAGGTATTGGATACCGACGATCAAATCTCGGGCAAGTAACACACCGATGACAAAGGGAACAACGTATGTTGTTATGCGGTTTGACCGATAAAGATCTTCGTAGAATATGTAGGAACCAATATGGGCATCTAGGTTCCGCTATTGGTTATTGACCGAGAATAGTTCTAGGTCATGTCTACATAGTTCTCGAACCCGTAGGGTCCACATGCTTAACGTTACGATGACAATTTTATTATGAGTTTATAAGTTTTGATGTACCAAAGTTTGTTCGGAGTCCCGGATGTGATCATGGACATGACGAGGAGTCTCGAAATGGTTGAGACATAAAGATTGATATATTGGACGACTACATTCGGACACCGGAAGTGTTCCGGACGTTTTCGGAGAAAACCGGAGTGCCGTAGGGTTACCGGAACCCCCGGGGAGAGATAATGGGCCACATGGGCCTTGGTGGAAAGAGAGAGGGGCGGCCAGGGTGGGCCGCATGCCCCCTCTCCCTCTGGTCC